GACATCTCTCCCACTCCACCTTTCTCTTTCCTGTCTCTCTCCTTGGATTTCCCACCTGCCTCTAAGCTGCCTTGTCATAGGCCAAAACAGCTTATTTATTAACCAATGGGAACTACATATATTCACAGCGTACAGAAAGATATCCCCCTTCATTGTAATTAATGCCTCGCCTGGGTGTTTCCTAGGAATATTTTGCTGTTTCTATTCTTATTTAAGTTGAATTAAACTAATTCACATATTTATACCAATAATGACTAGTTAGGCATTTCTGATTTTTACAGTATCCACAAGATCATACATTTTATAATTGAAGATTAATTTAGTCTTTAGCAGCATTGATATCTCTCAGAGTGATACACTTCCTAACTTTTGCCTGTCTAGCTCCTTTTCCATATTTCATTGATTATGGAATCAGCCCTTTAATTCCCTTATGTATCCTATTGAGGTATTGGTTGAGATTGCATTCAAATTATGTGTCATTATTGTGCTACCTTCCTTGGGAGACATAAACTTCTATTCACCCAGATAGAACACCAATTACAGATCAAAGTAATGATTCCATCAAAGTACACTTTGATAAACCAATGAGTTTATTGGGCTTACTTGCAAGAGGAGGGTGAGGGTTACTTCTGGAAGTGTCACTGAAAAGCCCCACTCAGTGTAGATGACAGCCTCCCAAAAGCTACATAGTTGGAGAAATTAATCTTCCACATTCTGTGTCCTTTTATCACAGCAGTTATCAGCTTTCCTAAAGTTGCCACTCTTGAGTACAGTTCTTTGTGTTGTGGTGACCCCCAACCATGAAATCATTTTCGTTGCTACTTCATAAGTATAATTTTGCTACTGTTACGAATTGTATCGTAAATATCTGATATGCAAAATATCTGATATGTGACCCCTATGAAATGGTTGTTTGAGGCTGGGCGGTGGTGGCACATGCCTTTAATCCCAGCACTCGGGAGGCAGAGCCAGGCGGATCTCTGTGAGTTCGAGGCCAGCCTGGGCTACCAAGTGAGTCCCAGGAAAGGCCCAAAACCCTGTCTCGAAAAAAAAAAAGGAAGGAAGGAAGGAAGGAAGGAAGGGTTGTTTGAACCCCAAATGGGTTGTGACCCACAGGTTGAGAAACACTGCTCTAGTACCTCTAGAGACTGTGCTGCCAAAGGCCACTATGCAGCCAAAGATGACCTTAAACTCCCAATCTACCTGCCTCTAATTCAAGTGCTGGGATTACACACGTGTACCACCATGCTTACTTTCATGTTTTTTATTTGAGAGCATTTATGTAGAATCCTTATTTCTTATTTCTATATGCACAGGTTACATATAGCCAGAAATTTTTTATTATTTATTTAACATTCTTTTCAATTTACATACCAACCAGAGTTTTCCATCCCATCCCTTCTCCTGTTCCCCCCCACACACACACCCTCCCCTGCCCAAGCCCCTATCCACTCCTCCAAAAGGGTAAGACCTCCCATGGGGAGTCAACAAAGCCTGTTAAATTCAGTTGAGGCAAGACCAAGCCCCACTGCCCCCCACATCAAATATGTAGCCAGAATTTTAAGAGTCACTATAAATTTTAGCTTACTGTTTAATTTTTCACAATTTTTTCCCTGCATTTCTTTCAGAGCTTATTGGCATACACTAATTTCAGTGGGATTGCCAGGCTTCTCTTTCCCTGAACCAGGGCATATGATGTTAGGGCCCATCAGGTTCCTCTTATCTCCTTTCTGTCAGAGGTCACAGGCTTGCCCTGCCTATTGTCTAGTATCAGAGACTTCTGTACTTGCACCTTCTCCACATCCTCAACAACACTTATTTTCTACTCTTTTCATAGTGACATTCAAGATCAGTATTAAATAACATTTAATTGTGCTTTTGATTTTTTCTTTCCCGGATGATTAGTGCTGTTGAGCATCTTCATGTGCTTATTGGCCATTTGGGTGGTTAGAAACAGAAATGCTCAACAACTCTGGCCATATTTCAGTCAGTTTATTTGTTTCATTGTGGTGTTGTAGAAGTTTCTTAGGTATTCTTGATATTAACCTCTCATCAGATGTACAATTGCCCTTTTACTTTATTGATTATTCCTTTTGCTATTCAGTAGGTCTCAAGTTTGTTGTAGTCATAGTTATTTACTTTTGCTTTATTTGACTTGTTTCGTTATAATTCCTTAGAAAACATTGACAAATTCAGTATCTGGAAGCTTTCCCAGGATATTTTTACTTCTAAGTTTTCTTTCTCTTAAAACTTCCCTAGTTTCAGAGATATCCTAGAGAATAGTCTACACACATGGATGCTTTTGGTTTGGGGTTTTGTTGATATGCAGGAGATTGAAACATTTGGCTTTATACAAGGCCCTGCAAGTGCTTACCACTAAGCCACATTCCCAGGCCTTAGTTTCTAAGACTGGGTTTTCTTGTGGAATTCAGGCCGGCTTTGAATTCATTCTGTATCCCAAAATGGCCTCCTAAGCCCCAACTGGAGCCTTTACCTCCCAATGCTAGAATTACTTAGACCCTTCCTTGTTTTTGTGTGTGGTTTGGGGTTTCTGTCAAACAGGTTCATCCAGTTTATTCAACAAGTCTTCTGTACATAGACTTTGTTGTTTGTAACTTTATTTCAGTTTAGATAAAATATAAATGATTACATCTGTAGCATTGTATGTGCATTTTAAGGCTAAATCTCTTGAAATAGGACTCCTTGTCATCAGGCAGTTAGCTTATGTCACTTCTGTAGCTTTCTTTATCTTTGTTTATGTCCTCATTCCTTTGCCCCTCAAATGTATGTGAGTACATGTGTAATATATATGTATATATACATTTTTATCTCATTATTTGAAAATGTATTTGTCAAAATCTATGTTGGTGCTTTTTTATTTTAAAATTTCATTTTGTGTTTTATCTGTATGAGTGTTTTGCCTTTATGCAAATAAGCATGTAAATACCCATGGAGGTCAGAAGTCATTGGGTACATTGGAAGTAGAACTATAGGCAGTTGTGAGCTGCAATATGGGTGTTGAGAATTGAACCTGGGCTCTTAGCAAGTGTTCTTAACCACTAAACCATCTCTCCAGTCCCTTATGTTGGTGCTTTGTTTTTTTTAACTTAATATACAGAGAATTTTAACAACTATATTTGGAACAAAGAGAGATGATCTCTTTAGAATCACTAATAAAAGATGAGAAGCCTCGGGGACTTGAGCTAATTTAAAGAGTTCAAATCAGTGAAAACCATGCATATTAAAAGAAATCCATGATGAATCATTTACAACAAAAATACTTAAGTTTACAAGAATCACGTTAATGACATGATGAGATATTTGTAGTTAGAATTTTAACATTTCTATCTTTAAAAAATTTAATATTCATACATGCATATAATGTTTTTGCATCAAATCCTCCCATCCCTCCCCAGCTCACTACCACTTTTTGTGCTCACTCAATTCATGTGCGCTCGCTCGCCCTCCCTCCCTCCCTCCCTCCCTCCCTCCCTCCCTCCCTCCCTCTCTCTCTCTCTCTCTCTCTCTCTCTCTCTCGTCTCTATGAGCAAAAGTATAGGACCATCTATCTGCCAAAGCATGGGTAGCCTCTCAGAGCCAGCATTTCTAAAGAACGCTGACTTTTCCAACTCCAGCAGCAATCAATAGCCAATGGGTCCTCAAATAGGGCAAGGGCTTCATGAGCCCCTCCCTTATCAGTTCTGTGATTTTGGCAGGTTTCAGCTCCTGCTCGTCTTATTCACACAGGAATAGCCACAGTGAGTGTTTGTGTGCAACAGTCCGCTCATCTCACGTAAATGTTCCACTGTGGAGATTCTCTGCCCTTTCAACCTCAGTCATCCCTGGGCCGTGAGATAATGGCTGTGATATAGATGGCTCGTTTTGAGCTGTGCATTCCACAATATCTTATTCTATTATCTGTTGACTTCATTAATTGCCATCTACTTCAAAAAGTAGCTTCTGTGATGAAAGCTCAGAAGTCCACCCTCAATCCAGAACTGAACACTTTTCTTCATGTTTGGAGTGGGGAGTAAGACAGAGTCTCATAAGACCTCATACGAATTTGCAAAGTAGCCAAGACTGGACATTTAACTCCTGATTCTCCTGCCTCCATCTCCCAGGTATTGGAATTTCAGGCATAAACTACCATGCTCAGCCATAATTTTTGACATTTGTTATTTTAATGGTATTAAGCATGAGTATGCTTTAGCATAATTTATGGATGAATTATTTCAAGAAGTGTAAAACTATTATAACAGCTGATAGGTATTGCTTATTGTATCATGGGTACTATGCTCAGTTTTACATATGTATTAACCTATGTTATTTAAAGCTACCTTATAAAGCATGTTTTTATCATTTCCTCATTTTACAGATGAGAGAAATAAACTGTAGACAGGTTAAGTGATGCCAAGAGGGTAGCTCATATCTATAATCCCAGAATTAAAGAGGCTGAGACAGGAGCACTGCTATGAGTTTTAGGTTAGCCTGTGTTCTGCATTAAGTTCTAGGCCAGCCTGAGCTACAACGTGAGACCTGTGTAACAACATCAGAAAAAAAAAAAATCAAGGGGAAAAAAGTTTGAAAGATCAACTGATATGTTATTAATACCACAATTAATAGGGGCAAACATTTTATCAAAACAGTCTTCAAAGTGAATTCTGTATTTTTCCATGAAAATGCTATGCTAGCTCATTTTATTGGCACTTAACTTTATTTTCCTGTGAACAGCCAGCATTTGATTTAAAGTCTGTATAACTTGAGCTTCTGAATTCTAATGTACTGTTTTCGGTGTCTACCCACTAAACTCTCTACATCTGTTCCTCGTGTAGTAGAGTATTATGTGTATGGCTGTTTTGTCAAGGTTCTTATCCTAAGCGGTAGTGCAGTGTTGAAGTTCTATTCATCGTCATCACAGAGCATGGCTTGCAGGGCACCATCCGTAGAAAGTCCTGCATTGTCTGTACCGTTTCTGACCCATTTATGTTCTTGCTTTTCAGTGGATGATTCAGCAGCCACACAAAGCAGCAACCTTCTTTGGATGCATTGGGATAGATAAATTTGGGGAGATCCTGAAGAGTAAAGCTGCTGAAGCACATGTGGATGCTCATTACTACGAGCAGAATGAGCAGCCAACTGGAACCTGCGCTGCATGCATCACTGGTGGCAACAGGTCAGTCATTATCAACCAGGAACACCCTCTCCTCAGAGCTGGATAAACATTGACAAAACCCGAATTACAGTTTGAAATAAACTTCGCCTTGATAATCATTTCTAATGTTCAGTAAACTCTTCTTCTTTGTGTTATTTTTTACCTTATTGTGTTTAATTTTTTTTGCTATTTAAGAATGTCATACATGTGTACAATATGTTTGATAAAATCTACCCCCCTATTCCCCCAACACACAATTTCTGCCTCTAAACTTCCTGTATTCTTTTTTGTTGTTATAGATGCAGGTGAAATCCTACACATTTTTTTTGTTTGTTTTGTTTTGTTTTTTAATTGTTTTTCAAGACAGGGTTTCTCTGTGTAGCCCTGGCCGTCCTGGAACTTACTATGTAGACCAGGTTGGCCTTGAGCTCAGAGATCCACCTGTCTCTGCCTCCCAAGTGCTGAAATTAAAGGTGTGGGTCACCACCACCACCACCCAGCCTGGCATATTGTTTAAGAATTTACTCTTTGAAGAATTCCCACAGTAGCTGCACCACTTTGTACGCCCAACATTGAATAATTATTCTGCTTTCCCTGCATCCATACCAGCACTTGTTGGACTTTTTTTTTTAAAAAATCTTAGTCATTGTCAACCATGTAATTACTTTGTTTATTTTATTTGAGACTTGACTTTATTTGAGACAGCCTCTTACGCTGTTGGCCAGGCTATCCTCAGACTCTTAGCAGTCTTTCCACCAGGAGCCACCCTTCAGACCCATCTTCCTTTTTTGTTTTTTATCTTTGAATAAAATTTCTTTCATTTATTTATTTACGTATTGTGGTGATGTGTTCGTATGATATGTGTGCATACCATGGCACACACGTAGGAACCAGAGGACAGCTTTGTGAAGCTGTTTCTCTCCTACTGCCTGTATATGGTTTCCCAGGATTGAACTCGGTCACCGGGTGTGCATCATCAGACAAGCTCCTTTAGCTACTGGGCCATCTCACAGGCCTGCCTTTTGTGTTCTTAAGTTTGTTTTTGTTAGATCTTCTTTTAAATTCATGAGGGATATTGCAGTGAAAACTTGAGATTATCTAATATAGTCTCTACCTTGTATAATTAGACTTGGGAAAACAAAATGTTTTGGGTTTTTTTTTGTGGGGGGGTTTCATCTTGTAATTTGCTGAACTTGCGTTAGAAAAGAATTACCTTGTCAGCATAACCTGATAACAGAGTATCAAAATCTGCTTATAGAAGCATGTGTGCCACATAGCTTAATGTTTAACCGATGTTAAACACCACCAGTCTTGATAATGCACCATTCAGTCAGCAACCAAGCCAAGTCATAGCTCAGGCCTGTACAATTGCAACATTTAAGAGGCCAAAACAGGAAAATCACGAGTTTGCTATCCAGGATGAGCTACACAATTGGATCGATCCTGCATGTGGAGTATGGAGATGGGAGTGGTGGTGGAGGAAGACGCACACGCACACGCGCGCACACACACGTTTTTACTACATTTCAGAAGTCTTCGTTGTTCAGATAGCAAAATGGCACCACACTACAGCAGTGTGAGCCCCTGAGGTCGCTCTACAGCAGACGGTCATTGGCACTACTGTTCTTGAAATCAACAGAAAACAAAAGATACTCAGGAAAAGAAACGGGTCAAGCAACCAGAGCAGGTCACAGGGCTGTAGAGTGACTAAATATGACATTTTCCACAGTCAAATATGCTATATTAAAGCAAATCAGAGAGGCGCAGATGGTACGTGCCACGGGTTGAGGGCTGCCTGCTGTCACTTGTCCAGATAGACATGGGAAGGACTAAAATGAGGAGCTCTTCATTTGACATCTTGCAGTGAGCTGCTTTCAAACCCTTTTCAAAATCCTGGAAATGTAGCAGAAAGATCCAAACACACCCCACAAGCATATGAGCCTAGTCCCTAGTGGGAAAGTCCCCCAGCCTGGGCCACAAAGTAGAAAAGTTCATAGAGCTGGTGGTTGATATTGTTAGTCCCAGCCCTCCTGTCTGCCAACTTTACTTAGAAAATTCTTCTTCATATGAACGTCTGATATATCTCTCAGGGCCTCCCATGCATTGGCTTTATTTACTGTTGTTTTATAGTTGTGCAGGTATTCCTGTAGTTACACATACATTTCTAGCATTATTAGCACCACATCAGTGGAGCCTTCTTTCTCCTTTGCATGGGAAAAGCAAAATCACTGTCTTTGTTAGGGTTTTATAAAAATCCTCACAATTTACCTCCTTTAAAATTTGACCCACTACAAATTTTGCATTCTTTGTACATGATTTGGTTTGTCTGATTTTTGAGACAGGGTCTGTAGATAGAGCCCTGGCTGGTCTGGAATTTGCTTAATAGACTTAACCAGTATCAAACCTAAATCTGTCCTTCTACTTCTGCCTCCCACAGTGTCAAGATTATAGGTGTACCATGCCTGGCTGTGTTGTCTATACTCAGAAATACGTAATTTGTCCTCCATTCTTTGTGCTGTTTTTCAGTCCTGGTCCATTGCTTTGCTAGTAAGGTTTTTTTTCCAAGTTAACATAAGCTACAGTCATTTGGTCAAAAAGGAACTTAAATTGAGAAAATGCTTCTACCGAATGAACCTGTGGGCCTGTCCATGGGGCATTTTCTTGATTAATGATTGATGTGTGGGAACCCAGCCCACTGGGCAGTACAATCCCCAGGCAGGTGGTCCTGAGTTGTATAGAAAGCTAGCAAAGCAATCTATGAGAAGCAAGCTTGTAAGCAGTGTTCCTCTTATCAGCCCCTGCCTCCAGGTTCCAAACCTCTTGAGCTCTTGTTGTGCCTTCCCTCAGTGATGGATGGTGACCTGGAAGTGTAAGCGATGTAAACCCTTTTCTGCACAAGTTCTTGTTTGTGGTGTTAATCATAGCAAATAGAAAGAAAGTTAAGACAGTCCCCTTTCTGACCTTCTTTATTTTGGTTTCCAGCTTGCCTCCAGCACAATCATATTGACCTGACACAATTCAGGGTGCTGATGAGCAGTGTGGGAGATAGTAATAAAATATCTAACAGAATTTTCAAGAATAATTAGGGAACAAAAGTAATTTTCACACCTTTCCTTTAACGTGTTTTTTTGTTTTGTTCTGTTTGTGAATAGGAGAACTTGATAGTTTTCAGGTCTCAATTAAATTATTCATTATTCAAATTAAGGTGCATATATATATACATTGGTTATATATATATATTCAGCTATCCCCTCTTCAAATGTACTTGTTGGAGCTTTGCCTCTTACAGTTTTCTTAAAAGAAATTTTATTCTTCAAGTGTGGTTTTCCCATTAATGATAAATGGATCAAATTTTTCTTCTGACATCACAAAGACTAGAATAAAATTGCTAAGTTGTCTTTATATACTAAGTTGCTATTTTAAAGAATAATTATTAGGTCCTACAGATGTCAAAAACTCAATTTGTCTACCACTTTTATGGCCTTGGTGACCCACGTTATTCATGGGAGTGGGGGTGGGAATGGGGCACAGTTGGTAGAGCATTGTACTGGTGTGCACAAATCCTTGGGTTCCATGCCCAGCACTGCATAAACAGGATGTGGCAGCCCATGTCTGTAATCCTAGCTCCCAGGAGGTAGACAGAAGGATAAGAAGTTCAGTGCCACCGGGCAGTGGTGGCGCACGCCATTAATCCCAGTACTCAGGAGGCAGAGCCAGGCAGAGCTCTGTGAGCTCAAGGCCAGCCTGGGCTACAAAGTTCCAGACAGGCACCAAAACTACACAGAGAAACCCTGTCTCTAAAAACTGGAAACCGGGGGGAGGGTGGGGGGGTGGGGGGGTGGAGTAGTTCAGTGTCATCCTCTGCTACATCAATCATTCAAACTCAGCCTGGGATACATGAACCCTAGTCTGGAATTTAAGAAAAAAGATGTGAGAACTCTGAAATGGTCAGCGGGAGCAGGTGACTAATTCATAATACAAATGCTGGAGCGTGGCAGAATGGGTAGATTTTTTTTTTTTAGGCAGCTCCTGGTAAGTAAAACTTAGAACTCAAATATAGTTTTGTGATTAAAATAAAAGTTAACATGAAAGTGTTTTAATGAAAAATCCCTACGTCATGATTAGGTTGTTTTATATGTGAGCAGTGGGTTCAATCCCTGCACCAGTCAAAAGGAATGGTACTGATGCTTTATGTTTGTGGTTTGTATTTGAGTGTATTCTTGAGACTCCTCATATTTTCCTACTTTTGTTTTAATATAAACAGATGTGTCATTCAGGAATAATTTAACATGGATGAATGGAAAATAGTTTTGGAAGAGAAACTTTTCTTGTAGATAGAGAAACTAAGTATCTCCAGAGTCCCAAACGATGAGGTCATTTTTCTAAATGCCATAATTGTTGCTGTTTTATTTTTTTAATAGATGAAAAAAATGCCAACTAATTTTATAAATCTTAGGTCTGAATGAAGAAGGATTTATAATTATGTGAAATGTAAATAATTTTTTATTTCGTTAAATTTAATTGTTGAATTAAAACTAGGCAATTTCAGTGGCACTTAAAACCAGATTTTAAATTTAGTATGCTGTTTAAATTTTCCGCCTATAAAATAACCCTGTCCGGGAGTTTTTAGCTACAGGACTTGGTTCTAATTGATTCCAGTCCTTAAAATGTAATAGTTGCAAATTTATTCCTCACAGTAAATATGATCTACGTTTATATGTACATTTTATGAAATTAATCCCATATTGGACTCTTAAAGCATTAAATTAAATAGTCAATTATAGTCTGTTGGTCATATTTTTATAAAGATATTTTTCTACCATAAAAATGAAATTTTGGTTTATATAGATTTCCTATTTCAGAATGACCTAGTAGCCTATTTCTTAACTGCATTTTGAACTGTATTAATATATAAAACTTGTATTAATATATAATATAAAAAAATAAACCTGATTTTGGAGTTAAAAAGAAACTCATATACCAGCCTTAGAATTTTAGGTAGTGCGTAGGCTGGTTACCTTGTCTCTTGTCCTAAAGGCATCAAACATGCCTTCACCATCTGCAACACCAGCTTTTGAAGAGTTTGTTCATTTCTGTATAAAATGACTGGCAAGTTTTTTAATCTGTATAAGGAAAACATATTTCCTACTTCTTGGGTTTTCAGGTCCCTGGTTGCTAACCTTGCTGCTGCCAATTGTTACAAGAAGGAAAAGCATCTTGATCTGGAGAAGAACTGGATGCTGGTGGAGAAGGCCAGAGTGTACTACATAGCCGTAAGTTCTACTTCCCATTGGGAGCCATAGTCACATGATGGGCGATAGCTGTCCGCTGGTACCTGCTCAAGACCTAACAGGATAATGTCCCTCTGGCAAGCATATGCTCAATTCACTATCACACAATAGAAGTAATCTTTATGGCTGTGTGCTGTGTGTTACCACCTTCAAGTCTACTGCTTTAGAGATAGTATAAATAACTTCTCAGTTGCACAGAATTCTATTAAATCAGTTTCATGAGATCTTTTGAAATAGTTTTACAAACATTTTTTAGCAACTTACCATTAATGATATGAACATTGTGGAAAACAGTAGTAATGTAAGTGTGTAATATAAGCACTACTAACAGTTTGAGCTTATTTGCCTAAAAAGTATCATAATTGCTATTTATTCCATAGTAATTAGCATGATACCTTTTAATTTAATATTTCAGAAACACTGATTGTGAGGAATCTCTTAAATTTGAAAATAGGGCAGCATATAATTTAAGTTCTCTGACATAAAAATAATTGATTAAGAATTAACTTCTAAGGTGGAAATACACTAAAGATTCTCCTGAATTAACCACCCCACGATTACCTTGCTGTTCCATGAGTTTCACATGACCTGTCAAACAGGAGTATATACCTGTTCCTAAGTAGCAGGATCTCATATCATACACAGTGTGGATCCAGCAGCTGCTCCCATTCTGCTGTCTGAGTTGTGTGAAACAGCTGGTGGGGCATGTATGAAATCGATTATCCTGTGGATGTATGCTTATTGAAATATAATTATTACTTCGCTCCAGTGTTAAAGTCTCCTACCGCATGTTTATGTGCGCTGCTGTAGGCTTTACAATATTGTTATTGATTTCTCTGTATAGCGGTTCCTACCCCTTTATAACTGTCACGTAAATGCTTACATTGGGGTTACATAATGGAAAGTCATACTAGGTCTTCAGCCAGCATGTGAAAAGCCATTTCTAGAACTCAAGATTATCTATCTTTATTATTTCATTTTATTCCATTTCTTAAAATGACTTAATTTTCCTTTAAGGTTTCAACAGTGTGTTTTTGTAGTGTGGTTATTTTTATTTGTTTGTAACAGGATCTCATTAGGTAGCCCAGGCTGGCTGCAAACTCTTAGGATCTTTCTAACTTGGCCTCCCAAGTGCTTGGACTAAAAGTATGCATCATGCTGGTATATCATTTAACTGCTATTTCAGGTCTTTTGGTATATAAAATTATGGTTTTCAAATAGTATGCCACCTAAAATTTAGCATAATCTATGTGTATTATTTGACTATTAAACTGGAAGTGTATTCTATTGTAAAATATTTTAACCTGTAAATTACAGTTCTCTGTATTTCAGAGTCTCATAATAGAATTCAATGTATCAAATAGTATCAAGTAGACTATGCACCTCCTTGGAAGCATAGTGATTGGATGAGTGTACGAGTAGTATAATGATTATACAGTGGACTGGAGCTAGGTAACCATCAGTGAATGGTGGGACTGTTGCAGGATTGAAGACCCAACGTGTAAACAACTCATTACTTTTGTTTTTAAAATGATTTTCTGATCCTCTGCAATTATATATTTGTTTGTATTGAGGGATGGGGTGTGTTTGTGTGTGCATGTGCGTATGACTGCCACAGAGCCCGCTTGGGGGTTAGAAGACAACTTGCTGGGATCAGTTCTCCCCTTCCACTGTTTGTTCCTGGCATCCAACTCAGGTTGGCAGATTTGGTGGCAAGCACCTTTTCCCGCTGAGCCATCTGTCTGGCCTCCCAAGTCATTCTTTTAATCATTCTATAGCATCCATAATGCATCTAGATAAGCTTGGTGAATAAAAGTTAAGGTACTAGTGATACAAAAGTATAGTTTAATATAAGTTATACAGTCAAAGTAATAAAATTTTGATTACTTTTAAGCTCCATATATTATATTTAACCAAAAGAACTATCAAAGTGGATTGATGCTCAATCTGATTGTAGCTATTCACTCTTAGTGTTACTCTGTATGTTTGCAAGACCTTTGTATTGTCAGGCAAACCTATCTCTGTTCATGTATTGATTTATTTCTGAAAAAGAGGATATTTATTTGTATTCTCTCTCTCTCTTCCCCTTTCCTTCCCTCCCTCCCACCTTACTCACTTGCTTTTCATATTGTCCTACTTTGTGACACAAGGTGGCCTGAAATTCACTGTATAGACTGTATTAGCCTTGAACTCAAGGTGATCTTAGTGCAGTCTCCCAAGTACTGGAATTACAGCTGGGAGCCACAATACCCAGCTACCATTTTTGTTTTTATGTACCCTTCTAACTTTCTGTATAGCTGAGCCTGACCTTGCACTCCTGATCTCCTGCCTCCATAGTGGAGATTATAAGTGTGTGCACCGTGCCCAGTTTGAAGACTCTTTTCATTTACCCAGAATGCTGTGCTTTTTAAGGGACATTCAATTGATACTTAAAATGTAGAGTTGAGTTTCTGATCCATTTATTATTGTGCATTGTTTATCTTTAGTAATATACTTTGACCTGGAATCTATTGTCTACTGTTATCTAGCCAGTTCACTATTTTTTTAAAGAATTATTTATTTTTTATGTACATGTATAGATGAGTATCTGTTTGAGCATGTGCTCTATGTGTATGGGTTCTGTGGAGTCCAGGAAAGGCCTTAGGGTCAGGCAGAGTTAGTTACACAAGTCCATGAACCACTGATGTGGTACTGGGAACAGCAGACATTCTTATCTCCTAAGACAGCGCTTAGCTCCACCTCTTTGATTTGATCAGTAGCATCACGCTATGCCTTTCTTCTCTTTCACTTTTGACACTCTTCTAAAGGGCATTTCTTAGGCAGTGGTGGCGCATGCCTTTATTATCAGCACCTGGGAGGTAGAAGCAGGCGGATCTCTGTGAGTTCAAGGACAGCCTGGTCTACAGAGTAAGTTCCAGGACAGGCTCCAAAGCTACACAGAG